GATCAGCTTCAAAGTAACAACACTTGGTCAGCACCTCATAAGGAACATTCATGCCACGTTTGGTTTCATTCCATTCAGTGGTTCTCTAAAAGAAGACGTTTGTATGTATTTCCAATAGGGTCCCATGTTAAACTAAGTCCCCCGCTGGCGGCCGTCTTGGATTATGGATCGGCTTCAAAATACCAACACTCGGTCAGTACCTCATAAGGAACATTCATGCCATGCTTGGTTTCATTTCATTCAGTGGTTCTCTAAAAGAAGACATTTGTATGTATTTCTCATAGGGTCCCATGTTAAACTAAGTCCCCTGCAGGCGGCCATCTTGGATTATGGATCGGCTTCAAAGTAACAACACTCGGTCAGCACCTCATAAGAAACATTCATGCCATGTTTGGTTTCATTCCATTCAGTGGTTCTCTAAAAGAAGACATTTGTATGTATTTCCCATAGGGTCCAATGATAAACTAAGTCCCCTGCTGGCGGCCATCTTGGATTATGGATCGGCTTCATAGTAACAACACTTGGTCAGCACCTCATAAGAAACATTCATGCCATGTTTGGTTTCATTCCATTCAGTGGTTCTCTAAAAGCAGACATTTGTATGTATTTCCCATAGGGTCCCATGTTAAACTAAGTCCCCCGATGGCGGCCATCTTGGATTATGGATCGGCTTCAAAGTAATAACACTCGGTCAGCACCTCATAAGGAACATTCATACCATGTTTGGTTTCATTCCATTCAGTGGTTCTCTAAAAGAAGACATTTGTATGTATTTCCCATAGGGTCCTATGTTAAACTAAGTCCCCCACTGGCGGCCATCTTGGATGATGGATCCGCTACAAAGTTACAACACTTGGTCAGCATCTCATAAGGTTCATTCATGCCATGTTTGGTTTCATTCCATTCAGTGGTTCTCTAGAAAAAGTTCAAAATGTAAAAAGTTAACGCCGACGACGGACGCCAAGTGATGAGAAAAGCTCACTTGGCCCTTCGGGCCAGGTGAGCTAAAAAGAGGCAAAAGATACCAAAGGGACATTCAAACTCATAAGTCTAAAATAAACTGACAAGGCTATGGCTTAAAAAGAAAAAGACCAACAGACAAACAATAGTACACAAAACCCAACATAGAAAACTAAAGACTCAGCAAAACAAACCCACCAAAACTGGGGTAGATCTCAATTGCTTCGGAAAGGCAAGCAGATTCTGCTCCACGTGTGGCACCCGTTGTGTTGCTCATGTAAGTACAAACCCGGTAATAAGTCTAATTCGGTAGGTCACATTCGGGGAAAAAGGGACGGATTGTAGATATTAAGATAGAAGCCATATGAAAAATTGCTGATAAATGTTGACTAATGATTGAACTAACTTCTGTAATATATGTTTTTATTATAAATATGTATACCCAATATTCTTGATATATAACATTATAACTTCTTATAAAATCGTAATCAACATAAATGTTATATACTGCATAATGACCCCTAATCATAAATAGTCAGAAAATGATTTCAATATATTTTAAATTTAAAAAATAATATTCTTCGATCTGAAATATGAATATAAATATTTTACATTAAAAAATAATTTATTTCGATATGAAAACTAAATATAAATATTTTTCATTAAAATGTTATTTATTCCAATATGAAATCTAAATATAAATATCTAAATTATTAAAAACAATAATATTCGAATAAATGTCTCCTCTAAAGAAAATTATATATTTGAATATGCATCAAAGACACAATTTTTTATTGTCCACTTTTGCTATAATTAATAAAAATTCATTTACATTTGAGAACTATGTCAAATACATATAACTTTGATCCTTTGTCAAATTTTTATTTAAATGACGCACGATCGACTTTTAAAAAGAGCCAAATTAACTTGAACCAGACCGAGTTGGGGCTAAATCGACATGAAAGCAATTTTCCACATACTTAATTATTCACAAGGGGCATAACTCTTTTAAAAATAATTAATAGGCATAGATTTTAGAACTTTTCCGAAACATTGCTGATTTTAACCTACGATATACGTTTCATACAAATCTGGCAAGAATTGTACACATCAGAGCGCTAACAATGACATTTTCCATAAAATTAATATTTCCAAAGGCATAACGCTTTTAAAAAAAGTTGAAAAGCACTGATTTTCAAACTTGTACAAGACAGTGCCGATATAAACCTATGATATAAGTGTAATGAAAACCTGACAAATATTCAATGTCCCCTGCAAAATGTCGCTCGGGGGGGGGGGGACGAAAAAAAAAAAATGCAACTCAGTTTACAATATTTTCTGTCTATTTTTAGCTGCTGGTCGCTGACCTTTAACACGGGTTATTCACCTTTTCTCTTTGTTTCATTGTTGAACTTTTCAATTGTAAACCAATGAAGGAATTTTTTATTATCTTAAAGATATTCTGAAATAATAGTCACCTTCAAGATTGACCTAATTAGCCCAAAATCAATAGGCTTCCTTTCCTACCATACATATTTATCAGTAAGTTTTTCGATCAGAGAAGCAGCAAAAGTATAATTTGTCTTTGGTCAACTGAGGTTAAGCGCTTAATTCTTTCTAAAACATGTAGTCAGAATTAAAAGATATCTTTACTTTTTACAATAATACTGCATACACATTTACAAAAATAGCACATAATATTTACAACAATAGCACATAATATTTACAACAATAGCACATACCTGTTTTCAACAATAGCACACACATATTCACAAGAATAGCACATACATATTTACATCAAGAGCATATATATATTTACAACAATAGCACATACATATTTACAACAATAGTATATATATATAGATATATTACATGTATACATATTGCAACAGAAAGACATCCCTATAAAATAGCATATCGTTTTGTAATGGTAAAAGCATATATTATATAAACTGTTATCACAGAGATATGTCTGGCCTTTTTGTAATTTTGATAATGCAAATGTTGAAATTAAAATAGCAATACTTTAACATTTAAGTTATGCAAATATTCAAAGTCGATGAACAAGGTACATGGCTAAACAATCTCCATGGAATGAGATGTGCCAATGCTAATACAACTGCATACCAAATACCATTGACTTATTATAAGTCGTTCCCTTTAAACAAACCTAAACACAAACATTAAAAGTTTCAAAGTCAATGAACCATGATCAGGGGCGGGGCTATATAATCTCAATGCAAAACGATACTTGCAAATGCCAATAAATTTGCATACCAAATATCATTGACTTAACATTAGCAGTTCATCTTAAACTGATCTAATCACAAACTAATACATGTAAACTAAGCAAAAGCTTCAAAGTCAATAGACCATGACTGAGGGGGCGGGGCAAAATATTCTCCATGGAAATGAGATGTGCTAATGCTTATACAACTGAACACCAATTAACATTGGCCTACCACTAATGGTTCCCCTTGAACTGACCTAATCACAAACTAATACATGTTAACTTAGCAAAATTTTCAAATAAAATTGAGAATGGAAATGGGGAATGTGTCAAAGAGACAACAACCCGACCATAGAACAGACAACAGCAGAAGGTCACCAACAGGTCTTCAATGCAGCGATAAAGTCTATAGACCATGACTAAGGGGGCGGAGCCAAATAATCTCCATGGAAATGAGATATGCCAATGCTTATACAACTGCATACCAAATATCATTGACCTACCACTAGTGGTTCCCCATAAATTGACCTTAATTATCACAAACTAATACATGTAAACTATGAAAAGTTTCAAAGTCAATAGACCTTGACTGAGGGGGCAGGGCCAAATAATCTCCATGGTAATAAGATGTGCATATGCTAATTCAACTGCATACCAAATATCATTGACCTACCACTAGTGGTTCACCATGAACTAGACCTAATCACAAACTAATACATTGTTGACGCTGTCACCGACGCCGGAAACAGCATACCTATGTCTCGCTGTTTGACTCCGTCAAGGTGAGACAAAAACTGCATCATAGCTTTATCTAATAAGAGTAAATCAGTAAATAGTAGAATATTGCTTAAATCTTAGTATCAGATTATTTCACATTTAAAAACAGTATCATATCGCTTTACAATGTCAGAATACATCTTAACAACAGTAGCATATAACTTTATAATGTCAAAATACCATATATAAAACTATTTTCATCCTAAAGTTGATATACCATTAAAACATGGACATATCACAAGAATGTGCATTGAGATCTCTGTTTTCAAAATGTTAATAGTGTGTTTTATTGCAGGAACAGCAAATATTTGTCTTCACCTAGAGTGTTTCAATTCAAAAGAACTGCCATATCTGTTGTTATAGATCATGGTAAAATATTTAGCAATTCAAGCCCCCATGAATTATTACTTAATTCCAACAGAAACACAGTCCTGTAAATATACATTGCTTTGTGATTATCAGATGTTTTTGTATCACACATATATAAATAGATCTTTATAAACTAATTACATACTGGACTTTTCCTTTATCAAAGCGACTATACCATTATACTTTTTTTTCTTGGCCATCTTTACGGGTGACATACCATTAGAGTCACGAATATTATAGTCTGCTCCTCTGTCTAATAACATCTTTACTATTTCTGTATGACCATGTTCACAAGATACTTTTACAGGTGACTGCCCCCAGCTGTCACATTTATCACAGTCTGCTCCTCTGTCTAATAATATCTTTACTACTTCTGTATGACCATGTTTACAAGCCTTCATTAAAAGTGACTCATGAAACCAGTTAAATGTATTACAGTCTGCTCCTCTGTCTAATAAAATCTTTACTATTTCCATATGACCATGTTCACAAGCCACCTCCAAGCTGTAACATTCATTACAGTCCGCCTCTCTGTCTAATAACATTTTTACTATTTCTGTATGGCCATGTTCACAAGCCATCACTACAGGTGACTTATCTTTTTCATCACATTCATTACAGTCTGCACCTCTGTCTAATAACATATCTACCATTTCTTTTTGACCATGTTTACAAGCCTTCATTACAAGTGACTCACCATCCCAGTCACATTTATTATAGTCTGCTCCTCTGTCTAATAACATCTTTACTATTTCTGTATGACCATGTTCACAAGCCATGTCTATAGGTGACTGCCCCCAGGTGTCACATTTATCACTGTCCACTCCTCTATCTAACAACATCTTTACTATTTCTGTATGACCTTGTTCACAAGCTTTCATTACAGGTGATTGACCCTTCTTGTCACATTTATTACAGTCTGCTCCTCTGTCTAACAACATCTTTACTATTTCTGTATGACCTTGTTCAAAAGCTTTCATTACTGGTGACTGACCCTTCTTGTCACATTTATTACAGTCTGCTCCTCTGTCTAGCAACATCTTTATTATTTCTGTATGACCTTGTTTACAAGCTTTCATTACAGGTGACTGACCACTCTTGTTACATTTATTATAATCTGCTCCTCTGTCTAACAACATTGTTAATATTTCTGTCCGACCATTTTCACACGCCATCGTTAAAGTTGATTGTCCCAAGCTGTCACATGTATTACAGTCTGCTCCTCTGTCTAACAACATCTTTACTATATCTGTATGACCTTGTTCACAAGCTTTCATTACAGGTGACTTACCCCTCACGTCACATTTATTACAGTCTTCTCCTCTGTCTAACAACACCTTTGTTATTTCTATATGACCTTCTTCACAAGCTTTCATTAACGTTGACTGTTCCTGGCTATAACAATTATCACAATGTCCTCTGTCTAATGACATCTTTCCTTTTTCTGTTAGACCATGTTCATAAGCCTTCATTTCAGTTGGCTGACCATTTTCATCACATTTATAACAGTCTGATCCTCTGTCTAACAACATCTCTACTATTTCCGTATGACTCTGTTCACACGCCCTCATTACAGGTGACTTCTCATATTCATCACATTTGTTACAGTCAACTCCTCTGTCTAACAAAATCTTTACTATTTCCGTATGACCTTGTTCACAAGCTTTCATTACAGGTGACTGACCCCTCCAGTCACATTTATTACAATCTACTCCTCTGTCTAACAAAATCTTTACTATTTCTGTATGACCTTGTTCACAAGCTTTCATTACAGGTGACTGACCCCTCCAGTCACATTTATTACAGTCTACTCCTCTGTCTAATAGCATTTTAACCACTTCTTTATGACCTTGTTCACACCCAATCATGATGGGTGACTGGCCATTATGGGAACACCTGTTTACATCAACACCATGATTACAACACCACTCTATCAAAGATATATCTCCTATATAACAATAATGTAATAAAGCAGTATCATAGGTATCATCCTCAACTTCAACCCTCACATAAAAAGGTTGATTATATGGTTTATCAAAGATATTTGCCAGCTGTCTCTGGTGAGATACATTCAGGGTTTTCAGATAGGAGAGAAGTTTCTGTCTGAACTGAGGTATCTTCATATTGATGTTATCAAATACATCTTCTACTTTTCCCTTTGACCAGTCATCAATCATTCTCTGTATGTACAGGTGATGATACTTTAGTGGTATAATAGTAATAAACTTGTCCATGTCCTCCTTTCTTTCTAATAAAAATCGTTCCTTGATCAAACCAATGTCTGCGTTCTTTATCAAGCAAGGGATTATTTTGCATCCAAAGTAGTAAGCTAAAAAGTCAAATATTTTATCATGTATAGTCCTGTAAACGTTTCGTTCTTTTTTTATGAATGTATTTGTAAGTGAGTTTAGTTCATTTTGTAAAACAAGTCTAGATGTTCCTCTATCTAATTGACATGACTCACACGTGTTCTCGATGATAGTTTTGGCTACTTCATTCACTTCTCCTGTCAAGATTTCTTCATTCAACTCGTTGTTAAACATGACACATAAAGCCAAAGCACAGTATTTAGTGTGATACCCTTTCTTCAGTAGCTTGTCAATCTCTACTTCATAAACTGAAAATGGATTCTGGAAAAAATCTGAAACATTAAGTTTAGGACTATCATGGTACAATTGACATAAAAGTGGAAAACAGTCATATAAATTATAATAGTCAACAATCTCAGAGGCTTTTGCTTTGAGATACAACCTAGCTATTGAATGCTTTTCGGTTGTTGACAAACAAATGCTTTCTGATAACATGTTACATACACATGACTTGAAAACTGATAAAGAATCAAACTGTTCATCTTGGTACACTTGTAACTGACAAGCTGTGAGTATTTTTGTATGTTTTTGATCAAGAATCTGCTTTATATCCTCCATAACTGGTTCCCAACTTTTAATGTCACTCTTGTCAACTGAAAAGTTTACACATAAATCATCAATAACAAACAATGTTTTCTGATTTGGATTGTTAAACCTAACAATGTCACTTGGCTCTGTCACAAGAAGAACATCGTACCCCTCTTCTGCCAATTGTAGAGCTGTATGTCGAAGAGTGGATGTTTTTCCCACACCAAAACTAGCAGTAATAGCAACACAACTGTTTTCCTGTATACATTTGAATACATGCTGGGCAGCTCTTGTGTTTATGAACATCTCTTCATCATGGTCCTTCCAGGCTTTAAGTGTATTGTTAATTCTAACTGAAATAAAAAAAAATTGAGGAATATTTCATCATAACTGACAAAGAAATGTCCAGATACAATAGATAGTCATTGCATTACATAATTGGTCTCTATAGTACAGATTTGATATAGTATTGAGGAACTACAGTTTGGTGTAAATTATGCCCTTTGGCCCCTTAAATATATAATACTGTGAAAGCACTTTTATTCGTGGGTATCAATTTTCGTGGTTTGAGCAAAAGTTACATGTTCGTGTGTTCTTAAATTCGTGGATTTTAGTTTTCTGAAAAACAAAATTGAGTGCAGAATTTGAAGCCCTCAGAAACGAAGATTCTAGAAACTTTTAATGATTTCGGAAATAAGCTGATTCATCAATGCTTACAAATTGTCTAAAATTGCAGGACATTGCAAAATAAACATTTGACTTGGATGGAGAGTTGTCTCATTGGCACTCATACCACATCTTCTTATATCTATTGTAATTGTTGCAAACATGTAATCAGAAGTGATGACACTAATTAACCCGAGATCGAAAGATCAACAGATTAGCGATCATCAAAGGTGTAAATTGGGCAACAAATATGTCAACTAAAAAAAACAGTTTCTTAAAATGTGCTACAAATGTACTTTGAATTGTAGAATTAATTCTTATGAAATAAATAGCAAACTGAATATGAAATTATTATTATTTTTTTCAATTATGATCACTTCAAAAGATTGAATCAGTAAAATCCTGTCTGAAGTTGTATATACATATGTTTAAAGTACATTGTGCGCTTACTGATATTCGATGAATTCTCTTAATTATATGGCAGTATCCATGTATATATATATATATTAGAGGGGAGAACAAAAATTTGCTTCCGCAAATTTGCAGATTTAACATTGTTGTGCTGATATTTAGAGTAATTATGTATATATATATATATAGAATTCTATAAAAAGGACCAACCAGCAAATTTACTATGTACCGGATCGTCTAGAATAGACGATACTGTGCAGATAAGGAAAAAAATTATATAAGTCTAGAGATTTGCACAACGATACTAATATAAGATGGTATTATACGAAGATGTTGTTAATAAATCGTGTTGACAAATATTTCGGCTTAACAAATAGCCTTCTTCAGTGTCAATTATTTTAACAATACTGATTATATGTATAAAAATAGCTCAATAATACAGGTAAGTTTTGGTCTATTGATTTAATCCAAAATCCTGAACATCATAATATAAAACAAAACTCAATACTCAAATATACGTGACTGTGTATATTTACATCCCAAAATGAGTGAAAAATAAAACTTAGTATTTTTCATTGATGCCGTTTGGATGATGTACATTTAGTTCCTTTATCCAAAAGCTTTCCCGAACCTGTCGCTGGGCATCACTCAAGTGAATGTTCTGTTCAATCACTAGGATCTTCATGCGGTTAAAGTCATCAAGTGTGTGACCAGACTGTCTGAAATGCTGAGAAACTGGGAGAAGTGGCTTCTTAGAGATATCACTCCTATGGCCATTGAGGCGTTTGTGGAAAGGCTGCTTTATATATATATATAAAGTCTCTGATTGATTGTATAATAAAAACTATAACACAATTTTCCATACGTTTCGGCCATTTTGGCCTTCTTCATTGGAATAAATTACAACATCGAAACAACAATTACATCGCTTGGATACATTACGTTATAATTACTACTATGACGTTCATTTGCCCCGTTTTTTCTCTATAAATATTTTCACTATGGTTCATACATTGTGTTGAGTCCATCAGGCTCTAAAGTTTTTAATTTTTTTTATCCAAAAGGCTTCTTTAGTTCTTCTGTAAATTTCTGTTCCAAATATTCTTTCTATTGCGGTGACTTTTAAATTTTTCATCGAATGATTATGTTGAATGAAGTGGTTTGCTACTGGATCGTCTGTTTTGTGTGTTCTAATTTTTGAAAAGTTTAAAAGCATCCGTTGATATAGTGTATCACCTGTTTGTCCTACATATATAAGTTTTTCGCATTTAGTACAGTAAATTGCATATACTACGCCCATGGATTTACAGTTTATTTGTCCCTGAATGGTATATTCTTTTCCGGTGTTATCACAAAATACCTTGGTCTCATTAATGTGTGAGCATAATGCACAATTTTTTCCGCATGGTCCACAGCCATTAGTTTGTTTATAAAATAATAAATTGTGCTTCTTGTGCTGGTTACCATGTTTCAGTTAAATCGATTTATGACAAAAATTGGTACCCCACGAATAAAAATACTTTCACAGTATTATAAAGTTATTAAATAAAACTATTCATATATTACATATATATAAACAAACAAATTGATAACAACTGTCATATTCCTGACTTGGTACAGGCATTTTCTTATGTAGAAAATGGTGGATTAATAGTCCGTTTCTATGTATGTTGGTGTTTGTTTTTGCAGCAGTTCAGTGTTTATGTTGTTCCCTTGTTTTCCTCTTATAGTTGATGTGTTTCCCTCGGTTTTGGTTTATGACCCGGATTTGTTTCAGTTAAATCGATATATGCATAAATCTATTTATCTGAAACAAATCCGGGTCACAAACAGCAATAGTCATAAATCGATTTAACTGAAACAAACCCTGGTCACAAACCAAAACCGAGGGAAACACATCAACTATAAGAGGAAAAAAAAGGGAACTGAAGACACTGAACTGCTGCAAAAACAAATGCCAACATACAAAGAAACGGACTATCAATCCACCATTTTCTACATAAGAAAATGCCTGTACCAAGTCAGGAATATGACAGTTGTTATCAATTTGTTTGATGTGTTTGAGCTTTTGATTTTGCCATTTGCTTAGGGACTTTCCGTTTAGAATTTTCCTCAGAGTTCGGTATTTTTGTTATTTTACTTTTTGATAACAACTGCCATATTCCTGACTTGGTACAGGACATTTTAAGAAAAAAATATTGGTTGAACCTGGTTTTATGGTTAGCCAAACCTCCCGCTTATATGGCAATATACCGCTAAAATGACAACACTACGTGACAGGAATACATAACAACTAAACGCAAGAACACTCAGAACAGAGACATACATAAATAAATAATATTATAGTGCATTACAACATGTAAACCACAGAATAACAATGGACACCTCTCGTTCAAAACTATACGGAGACCTTTCCATGTCTTGATTTAGACAACAGATGTTATATTTCGTTGGACACTTAAATTCGAGGATAAAACCATCCACGAAAACCACAAATATTGGTACCCCACGAATAAAAATACTTTCACAGTATTATAAAGTTATTAAATAAAACTATTAATGTTTGCAGAAGATGAAAATGGTAACCCCTTTGCAGTGCAACCTAATGATGCCATACCCAGAGATGTAATAGTAGAAAATTAATCAATTGCAAGATGAAGGATTGTCCTTTCAAGACAGCATTGCAAATTTTCTGAGAAGATTATTTCCAGAAGGTTATGAACCATATCTGTTCCGTAAAGACACACCAGAGTCGTATTTGGACATGCTAAGAAATATAGAGACCTAGTTCAAAAACTAAAACAAGAGGGTAGAGACTTTACATACTATCTGTATATACCTGAAGAGGATCCAGCAAAAAAACAATATTCATTATGAAAGAGGTGACCATAACCAGATTTTGAAGTGAATAGCAACATCCACTAGAGAGTGTAATAAACAGCTGCGCCATGAGCGCATGATACGCCCGTCGTCTTGTGTGTGAATTTTTATGCAATAAGCATAAATAGTTTCTGACATACGGCGTGACATGGGAAAACCCCCCTTTTTTTTTTACAAAAAACTCAATATCTATAAAATAAAATTTTAAATCAAAACCAAAAAGTATACAGATCTTTAGATTAATATAACTAAGAAGTGTGTAAAATTTTAAGCAATAATCATAAATCGTTTTTGAGATACGGCGAGACATGTGAAAACACCCCTTTTAAAAAAAAAAATCAATATCTCAAAAATAACATTTTGAATCAAAACCAAAAAGTATACAGATCTTTAGATTAATATAACTAAGAAGTGTGTAAAATTTTAAGCAATAATCATAAATCATTTTTGAGATATGGCGCGACATGTGAAAAACCCCTCCCCCTTTTTTTACAAAATACTCAATAACTCAAAAATAAAATTTTGAATCAAAACCAAAAAGTATACAGATCTTAAGGTTAATATAACTAAGAAGTGTGTAAAGTTTTAAACAATAATCATAAACTGTTTTTGAGATACGGCGCGACATGTGAAAAACCCCTCCCCCTTTTTAACAAAATACTCAATAACTCAAAAATAAAATTTTGAATCATCACCAAAAAGTATACAGATCTTAAGATTAATATAACTAAGAAGTGTGTAAAGTTTTAAGCAATAATCATAAATTGTTTTTGAGATACGGCGCGACATGTGAAAAAAAAACACACACCTGTTTTAGTTACTAAGTCCCGTAACTCAAAAAGTTTTAATCTTATTTTCACCAAAATGTATACAGATCGTTTGACCATCATAAGAAACAACTATGTTAAGTTTCATGAAATTTGGATAAGTCATTCTCAAGTTACGGTGCGACATGTTTATGCCAGACAGACAGACGGACGGACAGACGGACAGACAGACGGACGGACGCCGGACATTTGTATAACATAATACGTCCCGTCAAAAATTTGACGGGCGTATAAAAATGCATCGCTGGTTTCTGAAGCTTTTGACAAAGTAATATTGAATAAAAACACTAGCTTGACTCATACAGCCCTTACTGGTCAAAGACCGCAGTCTGTTGAGGATGCAGAAAAAATATTATTATCATATCAAGTTGCAGTTAGCATGGAACAAAATAACTTTGACGAAGAAGCAGAATATGTTCGTTCCATTGCTGGATGGCATGAAGCATCAGATGGACGTGGCCTAAGTCAATTCCAAAGATCAAAGTATAACTATCAGATGCTGAACTACATCATTGACAATTTCATTCCATGGCACAGAGAGAATTACAACTTCATGTATATAGATATCAACAGGTACTTATATATTTGAAATTAATAATGGATAGTGTGTTGAACTTGATACCATGATAAAAAAGCATTCTGAGAGTATTGCATGGCAATACATAGTCCCCTACCGGTTGAAAATTCATTGTACTGGAACAAAATGCTAACTTGATTTTTAACTTGTCATGGTGTAAACTATATAGCAAATATCAAGTCAATATCTTCAAGCATGACGAAAAAAAGTGTGGAAAACTGATTATTTAAGGTAGATCATCGGTATATATTTTTTGAGATAGAATTTTCTTATACTTTGCCAAAATGAAGATTTTAATATGCTTTTTTCAAAAATGTAATAAAAAGTATGGGTCACCGTGCTATTTTTCAAGCTATGAGTCGTTGAAAGTTGCCTAAATCTGGTTAGATTGTTCATGAAAAAAAACATTTGTATGCATAAAAAGAAATCTATGATATAGGATTTTGAAATAAATAGTGAGAAGATAGGTTTTATAACATGTTTTAAGAAAATAAAAAGAAAAAATGGTGTCACCGAACTTGTTTTCTTGCTACAAGTAAAAATAAAAAATTTCCCTATCAAGCCAGTGTAATTTTTTACTAAAAGAGTTATCTCCCCTTAAATGGCTTAGTTGAAAAAAATGATTCCAAAACACAAAATTTAATATATGTTGGAATATTTTGAATAATACAATAAATCACCAAGTTTTCTTTAAATAAATAAACAGTGTGACAAATAAATTGCAAATCTGTCTCCTAATTTGCAGATTTGGGCAAATAACTAGACCGATTGTGTACTGCGATTGTACAATCCAAGATGGCGGTATACCATGAATCTACCTTAAGTGAATTTTTGAAGTCCAAGGACCATAACTCTGCACAAAATCATCAGACCGGTACAAAATTCGAACTTGATCTGTAACTTGCCATGATAAAACTATATACCAATTATCAAATCAATATCTTCAAGCATGACGAAAAAAAGTGTGGAAAACTGATTATTTAAGTGAATTTTTCGAAATCCAAGGAATATAACTCTGCACAAAATGATCAGACCGGAACAAAATTCGAACTTGATCTGTAACTTGTCATGATAAAACTATATATCAATTATCAAATCAATATCTTCAAGCATGCAGAAAAAAGTGCGGAAAACAGATTATTTGAGTGAATTTTCTAAGTCCAAGGACTATAACTCTGCACAAAATCATCAGAACGGAACAAAATTCAACCTGATCTGTAACTTGTCATGATAAAACAATACATTAAATATCAAATCAATATCTTCAAGCACGAAAAAAAAAGTGTGGGAAACTGATTTGCCGGACTGACGGATGGACAGACAGACAGACAGACAGACAGACAGAGAGACAGACAGACAGACAGACGGATTGCAAACCTAAAGTCCCCTTCGACTTCGTCAGTAGGGGACTAAAAAGAAGTAACATTACCATTAAAACAGACTGACTGCAATTTGATCTTAAGCACAAAGTATATTGTGCAACTATTTAAGCGAAAAAAGTAGCATCTCAGTAATGGCAATATTCAGAATGATATTACAGAAGGTGCTTATGTAAATGAATGTTATTTATGGGTCTATATGACATGCTATCTGGGTCCTACCAATTACACAACTTGTTTCGAAAAATGAATATTAACAAGAGGCTAATGAGAGCCTGATATCGCTCACCAGTCTGTAAGATCAGTTTCTGGCACTTGACTTATTTGTAGATCTTACTGTGCTGAACAATTTTGTCATTTACACTTTCTCTCTTTCTATAATAGTATTAAAGATAATACATAACCCAAAACTGTAAAATTTTCTAAAAATTAACTATTTCTGGACAGTAACCCAACAATAAGTTGTCCTATTGGTTTGAAGATTACTTGACAGGTAGATCTAAACCTGTTTAACACTTTCACCTATGTCAGCTTTGCTCTTACTGCTTTAGTTTTTGAGATGAAAGCCAAAAACTTCATTTGCCCCTATGTTCGATTTTTAGAAACTGCCACCCTGTTTATGAATGGATATAATCCCCGAATACAATCTATAAACTAGATACCCTAAGGAACATTCAATTCAAATTTTTAAGTATTTGGCAAAGTAGTTTCAGAGAAGAAGATTTTTGAAAAAGTAATTGGACTTCCACAAAAAATGTAAAAAAAAAAACGTTTTAAGGGTAATAACTCCTCAAGGGGTCAATTGACTATTTTGATCATGTTGACTTATTTGTATTTCTTACTTAGCTGAACAATTATTGCCATTTATACTTTCTCTCTATCTATTATAATATTAAAGAAAATAACCAAAAACAGTAAAATTTAATAAAATCAACTATTTCCAACAGTAGCCCAAAAATGGGTTGTCCAACTCGTCTGAAAATTTCATAACAGATAGATCATGACAACCCATTTATCACTTTAACTCTCTTTCACTTTTGCTCTAACTGCTGTAGTTTTTGAGATATAAGCCAAAAACTGATTTTGTCCCCTATGTTCTATCTTTTGCCATGACGGCCATGTTTGTTGATGGATCAAAACTTCGGATACAATTTATAAACTAGATACCATAAGGAACATTCAGTTAAAGTTTGGAAGTATTTGGCCTAGTAGTTTCAGAGAAGAAGATTTTTGAAAAAGTAATAGACTTGCATGAAAAAATGTAAAAAATAAACATTTCAAGGGCAAGTCTATTACTTAAGGAGTCAATTGACTATTTTGATCATTTGACTTATTTGTAGATCTCACTTAGCTAACATTTTTGACATTTATACTTTCTCTCTATCTATTATAATATTAAGGATAATAACCAAAAACAGTAAAATTTTATAAAAATATACTATTTCGGACAGTAACCCTACAATGGGTGGTCCAATTGGTCTGAAAATTTCATAGCAGATAGATCTTGACTTATTCATCACTTTAACTCCTTGTCACTTTTGCTCTAACTGCTATCGTTTTTGAGATAAAAGCCAAAAACTGCATTTGACCCCTATGATCTATTTTTAGCCATGGCAGCCAAGTTTATTAATGGATCAAAACTTCGGATATAATTTATAAACCAGTTACCCTAAGGAACATTCAGTTAAAGTTTAAAAGTATTAGGCCCAGTAGTTTCAGGGGAGAAGATTTTTAAATGTTAGCAAACATGATGAACAAATTGTGTAAAATTGTCTTTAAAGGGCAATAACTCCTTAAGGGGTCAATTGACAATTTTGGTCATAGAAACTTTTTTTTAGATCTTACTTAACTGAACATTTTTTACAGTTTATCTTTATCTTCAATAATATTCAAGATAACCAAAAACTGCAAAATTTCCTTAAAATTACCAATTTAGTGGCAGCAACCCAACAATGGGTTGTTCCATTCGTCTGAAAATTTCAGGGCTGATAGATCTTGGCTTATTGAACATTTTTACCCCATGTCAGATTTGCTCTAAATGCTTTAGTTTTTGAGATATGAGCCAAAAACTGCATTTGACCCCTATGATCTATTTTTAGCCATGGCAGCCAAGTTTATTAATGGATCAAAACTTCGGATATAATTTATAAACCAGTTACCCTAAGGAACATTCAGTTAAAGTTTAAAAGTATTAGGCCCAGTAGTTTCAGGGTAGAAGATTTTTAAATGTTAGCAAACATGATGAACAAATTGTGTAAAATTGTCTTTAAAGGGCAATAACTCCTTAAGGGGTCAATTGACAATTTTGGTCATAGAAACTTTTTTTTAGATCTTACTTAACTGAACATTTTTTACAGTTTATCTTTATCTTCAATAATATTCAAGATAACCAAAAACTGCAAAATTTCCTTAAAATTACCAATTTAGTGGCAGCAACCCAACAATGGGTTGTTCCATTCGTCTGAAAATTTCAGGGCTGATAGATCTTGGCTTATTGAACATTTTTACCCCATGTCAGATTTGCTCTAAATGCTTTAGTTTTTGAGATATGAGCCAAAAACTGCATTTGACCCCTATGTTCTATTTTTAGCCATGGCGGCCATGTTTGTTGATGGATCAAAACTTCGGATACATTTTATAAACTAGATACACTAAGGAACATTCAGTTAAAGTTTGAAGGTATTTGGCCCAGTAGTTTCAGAGGGGAAGATTGTTGAAATAGTTTACAACGACGACAGACGACGGACGCCAAGTGATGGCATAAGCTCACATGGGGCCTGAAGGGCCCCGGTAAGCTAAAACTGCATTCACATAGATGTAGTATTGTAATTTCATTCATTCATAAATATTTATATAGTTCAAGAGTTCATGAACGTGTTTTGTTGATAGACATAGCAGATAAGGGCGCGTCGTTTCGCAATATGTATTTGTGTTGATTAGTTAGCTCGAGCATTATATTAAAGGATGTTAACCAGTACACATGGCTTGTCTCTTAGTTAATATATATAGGCTACCAACGTTACATTGGCGACGAGGATAAAAGAGTTGGAAATGGAGAAAAATGTATTTTATGGATTTATTAATTAGTGACACTGATAATTAAACCATGGCTGCATCTTTACCAATTTTTCCGAGTTTTCCGGTACATGAGAACAATGCTGAAATAAGGTGGCGTAAATGGATAAGTAGACAAGAAAATTTATTCATCGGTTTAAACATAAAGGATAGCAAAAGACAAAGAGTACTATTGTTGCATTACGCTGGAGAAGATGTAAACGAAGTCTTTGATACCCTTGACAATACAGGAGAAGACTTTGCTGCCGCTAAACACAAGTTAACAGATTACTTTGCTCCCAAGAAGAATACAGAATACGAAATTTACAAATTTAGGCAAGCCAAACAGACATCTGATGAAACTATCGACAGTTTTCACACAAGATTACGCCAGCTAGCTGTAAACTGTGAATTTACTGAAACATCTAAAGAAGTGAAATCGCAAATAATCCAAGGTTGTCATTCAACGAGACTAAGACGAAAGGCTCTCCAGGAAGACACGACCCTTGAAGGATTAATTTCATCAGCTAGAGCATTAGAACTTTCTGAAAAACAGGCAACGGAAATTGAACAATCAGACAAACAATCCGCAAATGCTGTGAGAAAAGGAGGTGGAAAACGTCGCAACGGACCACGATTTCTATAGACACAAATGGACCAAAAGAAAAAGACTACTTGCAGAAACTGTGGAGGTGAATTTCTGCATGCAAATAAGTGTCCAGCATTTGGAAAAATTTGTAACTCTTGTAAAAAGATGAATCATATCGCCGCTGTATGCAGATCCAAACGTGATGGAACTAACACTTACAAAAGAAAAGTCAATAAAGTTGAAAATTATGAATATGATGATGCTCATGACAGCAGTTCGGATGATGGATACATATTCGGATTAAGAGAAAATACTGTGAACAAAGTACAGAAAGGACAACCGAAAATCAACGTGAAAATCATTAATTCTAATGTGGATATTTTAATAGACACAGGATCCAGTATTTATGTTATTGATGAAAGCACATTCGAGAACATCAAGTGTAAACCAAAACTTTCTCACGCCGACACCAGAGTCTTCACATATGGATCAGATAAAAACTTGAAGTTGATGGGAAAATTTCATGCTACGACAGAGACTGACCATAAAATAACAACTGCACCGGTGTATGTGATGAAAGGAAGATATGGGAATTTATTGTGCTATGATACATCTGTTGACTCAAGCATAGTGCCAGTCATTTCTTCAGTAGCAAATAAACATGAAATATTATGCAATAAATATAGCGATGTGTTCAACGGAATTGGTAAATTAAAAGATGAAAAAGTGAAAATTCACATTGATGAAAGTGTAAAACCAGTTATTCAACCGCATAGGCATATTCCGTTTCACATATGTAAACAAGTGGAGGCAGAACACGAGAAACTCGAAAAGCAGGATATAATAGAAAAGATGGATGGACCAACACCCGAATTCTAGACAGTTCCGGGTGCC